ATCTGAAATCTGTGCTTTGGGCAGTCCTTGAGCACCTTTCAGCCCAGAAGAATCCGAAATGGTCCTCTTGTAGCAAGAGCTGTAGTAAGACAGCCCTCTCAGACATAGGTTAAGGAAATAGTGGACACAGGAACGAACTTTGCGTTAATTAGAGAAGGGAACATTTTGAATTGGATTTAAAATCAAGAAATCCATTAATAAAAATTTCATAATTTTTAATTTGAGTGTTCTTCTCTAAAGAAAACCATCCAGTAGATTGGATTGTTATTCCAGGTTCCAGCCAATATTTAGATCATATATACAATTTTAGGTTCTGTTATTGCTAATTGGCAGTTAAACATAAATAGTCATACCCTTTGGGGAAATAGATGCTTACATTTGAGATGCGGAAACTTTGAGAAAGGGAGTGTGCGTGCGAGGGAAGGAGACTTGATGCCTGCTCTTAAATATTTAAGTCGTGTTGAAATGGCAAAAGGATTAGATTTTTAAGAAACCCAGGGCTCAAACATAAGAACAATTGTAAGGATGGTGCAGCACCTGGAGGTGTTTTGTTCTATTGTACAAGGGTCGCTATGAGTCAAAACCAACCCCTTGGCAACTAACAACAGCATATGACTAGAGGACATCAGATGTGGCCTCTTTTATTTTCTTTTTCAGAGAGGATTGAAGGTGGGGTGGGATGATGGCATGTAACACATTCAACATATGCCCAAACCCTGATATGACAGTGCCAAGGTACTTTAAAACCATGGGATCAGATAAACTTTAAGGTAGAACTCAACTCTGATATCTTGTAATTTGGTGGCCATAGTAATTGTATTCAAATCAGACCATGGTAGAGAAGCTAGCAACGAATTGAATTCAGGCTATGTAAAATAAGAAAGAGTACTCTGTTTTATGAAACTGTCCTTTTCAATCCTTATACGAGAATAAGGCACCACCTCTCCTTTACCCTCAAGGAGGGAACCCAATTCACTTGAGAGAGCGTGAGAGAGGTGTTTGTCTTTGCTTGCAATGTGTTTTATAGATCTACAATGGATAATCTAAAGCAAATAAACTTGCTAATTTATTAAATCAGGTTTTAGAGTGTGGAGCAAATTACATGGAACTAATTTGATGAAAGAAATGGAGTCATGAAACTGAGTGTTGGGTTCTGTGTCCTATACATCAAATATCTATCTTATATTAATTATTGGTGAACAAATATGTTTCTACCAAGCTTCATGATTGTAAGCATAGTTTTATATATCTGATCTTATATCAGCCATCACAAGTTTTTCTTAAGTTTTAACTTTTTATTGTGAATTGGGTGAAGGTTTAGAAAGCAGAGCAGCTGATTTCCATTCAACAATTCATATGCATTTTGTTTCATAACAACACGGATCTCACTTCCTCCCCGTGTTTCCTGTTTCCAGTTCTCTTTCTTTCTTAACTCCTGAATTTCATCCTTGAGTGAATGCTGCCCCTTTGATCCCAAGTGAATGATAATCTAAGACGTGTGTACCTCACTCCTGTTACTGCTCCCCTTATCTTCCCTCACAGACCTGTCTGTTGCTTGCCTTGCTTGAAAATTGAGTCATGGGAATGAGTTCATTTCCAGACAGGATGCCTGATGAAGGACCATACTCTTGGAGGTTCTACCATCTTGACCTCTCAGGATTTTGAGTCTTGTTCCATATCTTTCTCCCACTTTCACCTGGACCTTGGAATGGGATCTTTGACAGAGCAATTGGGAGTGGTAGTCAGGTACCATCTAGTTCTTTCAGTCTCGGGGTTGTGAAGACTGAAGGTTTTGTGGTCTGTTAGTCCCTTAGACTAATTATGTCCATGGGTCCTCGGTTTTTACTACTCTTCTTTCCTCCGTGGTACTTTCAGGGATCTCATATGGTTTTGAAAGGTGGACAATGAATAAGGGAAAGGTGATGTATTTGAATTATGATATTAAGGAAGAATATGAAATATTAAAGTAAAAATCAAATAATTGCAAGAAAATGATAAGAACTTTTATTAAACAAAAATGTAAAACAATGAAGCCATCATTTCTTGAGACTTCCTCCAACAAGGTCTATACATTTCTGAAGGCAATGTCCCATCTTTCCAATTCTACCCTGAAGAATTATTCATTCTTTATTTGTACCACATCAGAATTGTACTTTTGGCATACTTGAAGGCCTTACATTATTCTCATTTTAAATGTTTTTTGAGTTTGGAGAATAAAAAAGAAGACTAAATGGGAGACATGAAAGCTGTAGGGTGGATGAGATAAGACTTCCCAATAAAATTCTCACAGGAGCATCTCTTATAACACCTAGAAGAATGAGCAGGTACATTATTTTAATGAGAAAAAAAATCCTGGACACAATTTCCCGGGCCTTTTTCTCATCCATGCCATTTTCAGTTTCTTAAAACTTCCTAGTTAGCTCCATTATCATCCTATGTCTTTCAAGAAAATGTATCAAGATTACCCCATAGCAATCCAATAAAACAGCTACCATGACCATCTTAAGCTTAACTCCATTGAATTTAATGAGCCCAGTAAATCTCCTCATAAGCCCTGGCCCTTATTTTTTTTCAGCACCCCATGGAGACCAAAAGACGTGTCTTCCTGAGTGACTCTGTCTGCTGCAACCATTCACGGATTGCGCAGACATGTTGAAACATCGTTTGTTTGGAATAAACCTTTGCATGAATGAACTGGACCCTAGTAGCGATACTTCTCCACTTACCCTCATGTACCATGACTGCAGGATGAATGAACAAATCCATCTTGGAAGAAGCACCACCAGAATCTTCTTTAGACATGAGGGTGGTGACAGTTTCATCTCATGTACTTTGGGCATGTTATCAAAGGGAGCGGTCCCTGGAGAAGTCCATCGTGCTTGGTAAAAGTCAAGGGTCATCCAAAAGGAAGACACCCTGTGGCTGTAAAGATGGACTCAAACCCAACAATTGTGAGGATGGCACAGGACTGGGCAGTGCTCTGTCCTGTTGTACAGAGGGTCACTAAGCCCGGGAACCAACTTGATGGCACCTAGCATCAACAACAGCGAGCAGTGTCTATAAACTCATGGCTGTTGAGTTGATTGTGACTCATAGTGACTCTCTGGGTCAGAGTAGAACCTTTGGTGTTTCTGTGATTTCAGTCTTTTCAGGAGTAGATAGCCTCATTTATCTCCTTTGTAGCAGCTGGTGGGTTCGAATTGCTGACCTTGTGGTAAGTAGTTCAATATGTGACTCACTATACCACCAGAGCGCGTGTATTATGATAACAAACAAACAAACAAAAATTAAGTTTGAAGAATTTTAATTCTAAACTTTCATGAATGATCTTTTTTCTTTAATTTTTACTGCATAAAAAGTAAAAATATGATTTCCATATAGCATACAAATGAAGAAACTAATATTTGTAAAATACTTATATTGCTCTTACACTATTCATGACACCTTATACACAGTAATATTGAATTCAATTCTCACAATCTAGTTCCATTTCACACATGATAAAGGTTACATGTTGATTTAAGAAGGTTACGTGTTAGTTTCTTCGTTTATTTTACCAATATATATTAAAATTTTATTACATACCAGGCATTGTTATTACTGTGGCTGCAACAATGGACTCAAACATGGAAACAATTGGGAGGAGGGCGCAGGATCAGATGGTGCTACCTTCTGTTATGTGTAGGCTCACAGATGAGTCAGAACAAAACAGGACACCTGGCTTGGATGGGGTGGATGGGGTATACAGCCTAGTAGGGTAGGGCAGAGAGACAAGAAGTAAATCAACAAATAAGGATAGACTCAAATTTTTAAAAAACTGGGTGAAAGTTTACATAGCAAAACGGTTCAACAATTCATACACATTATTGCATGACACTGATTGCTGTCCCGACAACGCAATAGCACTCTTCCCACTCCCTCCCGGTGTCGACCACATCCACCCATCCTTCTTTGCTCTCTCTGCCTGCCTTCTGAGCTTTCTCCCAGGGAGTTACGCAGTTTGACTCGCATATGGCTGTGTGTATGTTTGGGTGAAAGTGCATTCGCTTTCAAACTTGAAGAGGGACAAAGGGACAGAGTATTGGGGGCTTCACCAATCTCCTAAGCCTGTTTTTGTTGTTTTTTAAATGATTTTTGAGGGGGTTTTCCCCCCCTAAAATATCCCACTCCATTCAGGCCTCTTCTTGTGATCCCAAAGGAAGTGCTCAGCAGTGATAGCTGGGTACCATCTTTTCCTGGTCTCAAGTTCAGGGAGGCAGAGGTTCGCATGGTCCTTTGAACTAAATGCTTCCCTGTATCATTAGTATATTCTTTAAACATGAGAAAAACATAAGAAACAAATGTGTATAACCCATTGCAAAAGAATAACTTGAGAGAAGGACTACTTGTTTGGGATCTGTTATGAAGAGGGCTCTGAAGGGGATGATGCTTAATCAGAAACCTGAATGAAGGGACTGAACGACCATGGAGGAGAGAAGGGAGGCGAGACTCCTACCTAAATAATTGCACGGTTGAGAGCATGAAGGCAGAAAAGCAATTCATGCATCAGAGCCTTCTACCCAAAGAGTGATCTGATATTGATTATCCATTCAAGACATTTTATTTATGTCTTCAGACAAAGAAGTAAAGACATGAAAATAAATGTTTAAACACCGTGATAGCAATTTGACAGGATAATTTCAATTTATTTAGAAATACAAATATTATAGTACAATTATTCCTGGATTGAATTTTATCTATCTGTCCTTTTATTCCATTTAGATCAGTTACAATTATCAAAGATGCTCCATTATTTGTTGTCTTAAGAGATTTTTTAAACCATTGCTTCCTAGGATCACCTATGTCCTCTTGAAGAGTGTCACAGTTTCCCCAATACCATAGGGGGTTAGATATGTCCACTTCTTCATGTTTATTGTTGCTAATGTTCTTTATCTTTTCAAAAGAAATTAGGACAGAAATAACAAATATCCAATCAATGTCTTGGTGTTTCCTTTGTCCAGAGCTCTAGAGGAATCGCACAACGTTGTTCCCTGCTCCACTTGAACTTGAAACAGGAGGAGTTATGGTCATTCTCCATGAGACCAAAAGAGAAACAGAGGCGGGAGCTAAAGGCTTCCGAACTTCGAGGGTTTCTCCTGCCACCACATCTACTCAGTACTGTTCTGAGTTCCCAAAGGAAGCTGTTTTACCGCTCAGGTCTGTTGTAGGACTTGGTTTTGTGAAACAGTGCAATAGTGTGCTGTTTAAAGGACACTGGACTTAGTCAGAAACCCTGGGTTCCCATGTTGACGTTGGCTCTTGCTGTTGGCAGCCCTGAGCTACTTACTTTACCTCAAAGAGTACACTCCAGAGCTGGATAAATCACGGGACCATTCACTTCTGCAAATCTATGCGGAAAAGAAGCAAAAGAGAAGTCAGAAAGAGCGAAGAAAGGTCATGGAAATATTTAAAACCAAAGAACTTTCCTGAAATGATGTTTTACCTTTCGTTCACATTTGTTCTTCCTTTGTTGTTCTTGGTTCTAGAATCTGCTTTCCCATTGCTTATTTTCTGCTTTCTCAAGATGCTTATTGCATCTTGCTTTGCCAGTAACCAGTCTTGCTGGAAGCCCTGCCTTCACTATTAACCTGCGTGTTTTGCTGTGAGCTTTGCTACAGCCAGAATGAGACAGAATGTATTGTGAAATAACATCGGCAACCTTTGCTTCACTCACCTTTTTTTATAGCAGTACAAGTAAACTCATATTAAAAAAATTTATTCTCTGCCCACTTACCTCATAATATACTAAGTCCAATTAAGGAAATGTATTATGAAAAGAGACATTTGGAGGATTACATGTACAGTACTCAAGAAACTCATAAACTCTGCTCTGGCTTCTTCCATGATTCAACTTCATATATTAGCAGAGGATGAAATACGAGCATGTATATCTCTTAGTTCTAAAAGTTGGATTCTAACATTCCAAGAACCAAGACTGCTTTACCTGGATCTTTCGCTTTCTTTATCTCTGTCTAGTGAACTCAGACCTAAAACTTGTTTTTAACCGTCAAATTTGATATTTATATATTTGGTAAGCATTTTTGTTACTTTATAATTTCTTATATTTGTATGAAAATATGAAACCATTAAAGGTATTAACTCTAAATATTTGGTTTATCAAATTCTCTTGAGGAATGTGAAAGTTAGTGATAATCCATATGTCGTGCCTCTGTGTCTGAAAATTACATCTCCTTTCAATTTTCTATCTTCTAAACAATTCAATTGGAGGCTCTGGTGGGGTTGTCAGGTAAGTATTGCACTGCTAGCTATAGAGTCACCAGTTCAAATCCACCAATGCCTCCTCTGAAGAAAGATGAGGCTATTTGTTCCCATAAAGATTTGCAAACTCTTGAAATCCTATATAGAGTTGCTATAAATTGGAATGAGCTTGGTTTGAAAATAATACTGTTTATATCATTAATAAAGGTATGGCTTGTTGGATAAAAAACAAGATACAATGGCCGTTCTGATGGAGAGTTCCAATAAAAAATGAAATTAAAGCATACGAAGGTCATCCACGCAAACAGAAATTATGACTTGTACATATGAGAATCACATAAACAAGCCCGTTGTGATGTTATAGAAGCAGCGTTGTTATTGTTGGCTACTATCAAGTTGGCTCCTGACTTGTGACTTCATGTACAATGCATAATTCATAATGCATCGTGAAACCATGATTAGACCCAAGTGACTCTTACTGTTATGGTGGCTGATTGTTGGGAAATAAATTGTGATAGAGTTAAAGTTTACTCTGCCAACCTGGCTGATAAACACATGTGGGGTTAATTGAAGGGTGGATAGTAAATGGCTCGATCAGCCTCGCCTTTCTAGTTCTCAGGTCTCTTGCTTTGTGATGGTTGGAGCAGGGTGCAACTGCCTTAGCCAGTTCCTGCTTCTGCTGGCAAGGCTTACTTCCTCCAAGACATCCCCAAGGAGAAGCCACATGGACCCTACCCAATGCAGCCCTGGGTGCTGGAGCAGCCGTGTGGAGACCCCTGCCAGCGCGGAGATGTTTACACATTCACTGACTTGGCTTTCCTCCTGCAGTCGGCATCATTGCGTCTGTTTTGTGAGATGGAGGAGGACTTTGTGGATTGGTGTTGGACATATGGGT